ATATGGAAGCGGAGAGATGGATTATTTTTTTTAAAAAACAGGAAGAAAGGCGCTTATAAATAATGATAATCTTTTTGCAATTCCTTCTGTGCTTCTAAGCGCACTTGCCTTTACGAATTCCTAAAATTTCTGAGAATTGAGAGTCTCTAATTACACATAACCAGACCACTTAGGTAACAAAGAATAAAGTAAGTTTGGGATGGTAACAAATATTTTTGTGTCCTCTCGTTCTTTCCTTCTGGTAATAGATTTATTTTATATATAATTTATGTATGTTTTTATTTGTTTATTTCAACCAACATCCTAAACTGTTAAGCATCGCGTCCTAGTGTAATATTGACATGTAATTCGAAATATTACTAATTCGAATAAAATATAAATTAGTTGTCTTTCTAATTTTTTGATAAAAGAGACACGGAAAGATGTGACTTTACAAGATTTTCTGAAGTGTATCATCGATATGGAGCATTAAGTGATATCGAGGCAATTTTTACATCAGGGAGAGAACTTGGGAATATTGAAAACATCCATCATTATGATAAAACATAGTTTAAATTTTTACATAGTTGAGATTATTATTTACTCGTTCTAACATGCGTGTATGTATGCTACACAACGTGTTATGGATAGACGTAAGATGAAACCGATTCACAAGTATTTCCAAGTAGATATTAAAAAAAATATATTGTAAGAACAATTATTAATAGGAAATAAATCTTACGTAAATATACGTAAGGTTTAAAAATTGGCCAGCATTATGGTAATTCTGGTAACACTTCTGCATAATGCTGGTCAATTTTGAACCCTACGTAAGGTTTACGCAAGATTTATTTTCCTGATGCAAGATGAATCCGAAGAAAATCAAGACATTTTAAATTATCAATTTGCAAGATTAAAATCAAAATAAGAATTTCTTCAACTGTGTTACTCGTTACGATATCAGTAAAACCAGAAAGAAAACTTCAAGAAAACAAAAAACATTAGGTTTTAACCTTTTTAGCATGAAAAGGGAAAGATTTTTATTATTGGTCAACAACTACAATAAAGATTAATTTTTAAAGTTTGTCCGTCACATTGTAATGGAGGGGAAAGTTTAATAATCACAGGTTAACAATAAACATGGCTTTGATCAGAAATAGATGCACATTATGAGTGCCGAATTGAATTCGATTACTTCTTTCGATTTCAACCAGTCCAAAAAGGACGAACATACCTTCAATGTCTATCTATTGCTTACAATATTTAACTATTTTATTATTTTAGGTCTCTTTGATTAATTTGATGTTTTCGAACATAAATGTAGCAAATACAGTTAAAATTTGACACCTCAACAATAATAAACAACATAATAATATTTTGAACAGCATTGGAGATGAAATCCTTTTCACGAAATCTGCATACGTAGGCTTATTGAAGGATAAGGATATTAGTTTAAACGTGTAAAAAATTGTATGTTTTAAGACCTGGTATAATTATTGTGTTTCAAAACCATTACTGAAATCATTTTATTATTAATGTTATAATATTACTTAATATTTAAAGGATTCACATTTCCCTGTGACAAACTTTATTATATCAAAAATGTGTACTATTTAAAATCATAAGGAATTATAAATAAGATATTAACGTTGTCTTTTAAAAACTATAGACGGCATTTTGCGAGCAACTAGAGACGAAATGAGGTCCGGTTACCTGAAGGAAAGAAGGAAAGCTTAAAGCAAGCATTGATTTCCTGGCATGGCGCTGATTTTACATAAAAAGTATCTTGAGACAAAAGTCGTCGAATTGCGAGAGGGAGGAGCTCATTTAATTGAAGATCGGTAAATTTTTGGTCGTTTTGAGTGAGCTAAAATAATGCCGACATAGGTTCAATTTCCTGATGTTAAATACTTTTTTCAAGAATATTCAAAATTCCACTCATAATTATATAAAATTTTGTTTGGTATTATATTTAACAGTTTTATTTGAGCTCAAGAATCCGGTTTAGTTAAATTTTGTTCCGATTGAGTTTTCATTCGCTTGTGCTTTATTATTACAATCTCCCGTTATTATTATCTCGATTTAGAATTATCATAAGTAGAAATAAATTCCATAAAAAAGACTGTACCACGAGCCAAAAATAATAGTAATATTTTTTTTTAATTTCAAATAATGAAAAATGGTATTTTCCTGAAAAGATTAAATATATACATATTTATATTCATTCATTTATATGTAGACGGAGAGAAGAGTCGTCATCATCATCAACACTACACTATCTTGTGATATATATAAGACAATAAAAAAAGATTAAATGTTGCACAAATAATTAGAATCACAAAGAAATTGTTGTGTTGAATAGTTAATTTGTTGTACAGTTTGCTAAGCAGTTTGAGCCGAGTGATTGTTGCTGAGTAATTTATCAGTCGATAGTTATTGGTTTGTTGATTCAAGTTTGTTGGGGCAGCAAATAATATTGATAAATTTGTTGCAAATAAATGATTTTAATTGGATGATCATTTAAATTCAAAGAAAAACAAAATTTTGGCAAAAAAAAAAAAAAATAATACAATCCTATTCTTATAATTTTATTATATTAAAACAATATTTTTAATTATATTACAATTATATTATAATTACAGTAGCTAATTAATAATATTATGTATTAAATCATATTCATCATTATTCATCATGTATTTCACATGCCACACTTTATTCAAAGCCAACAAAATAATAAATTTTCTTTTATATAGATCCTCAACATACTTTATTACTATTATTATTATTAGTATTGTTGGTGATAGTAGCGGTGTCTTTAATTGTACCGTTTCAAAATATAGAAAATAAAAAAATTCTTCTCTTATTGATTAAATGGTAAAAATATGTTTTACCTTCAAATCAAATATTACTAATATACTAATAATAGTTGATAAAAATAGGCAAATAATTATTAGAATAAAGTCGTGTGATTACTGTCACATAGTAATAGTTTTCGAGGTTATTATTATTATGATAATTGCAAAATGGAAACATCGTGTAACAATGATGATTTCAACATTTTCATTTCTCATCATCATCATTCATTACCTTATACCTGTCGTGTTTCCAATAAAATGTCCAATGATAATTTAGATCTTGGTCACGAGAGGGTGAGTACAAATAATTTTTCGTCTATGTGATCATATCTAGCTTTCTTGGCCTCGAATGTTGAAGTGATCATCAATTCACCACCTTATACCAATGACATGCAAGGCAAGCTCTGGCATTTGACATGGCCGTTTATAAACTGTAGTTAAAAAAAAAGGACAAGGAATATGAGTAATTTACCATGATCAATAATCTTACTGTTCTCCGTACGTGCGACTTTCTTGTCCGTCATATGTTCTGCTGTTGAGGAAATGCATAAATGCATAAATTAATACCAGATTAAGATATATATTGTATATTCTAGTCTTGTTAATTACCAGTGTCTTTTTTATTAATTATGATTATAAACTGCAATAGATTTAAAGATAAACAAGAAGACTATCATGATAACATTTAATTTGATTTATGATCTTTAACTATTTTTGTGGCCTTGTAAGAAAAGATCATCCTTTGGGTAATGAATTAAATAAAAAATGGAAAATATGATAGATAATAATTTTACCCGAAAGCAATATCTGACACTTTTAATTAATTGATTATTCCTTTGTATAACAAACAACTCAGTTGACTGATCTGGTGAAATGGCTAATGGTGATTTAACCAATTTGGCTTGAAAAGGGAATTTGTTGTCACAATGAGTCGATTTCAGAAACGAATATAGAGGAAAGAATAAAGGGTCCAACAAATATTGCTTTATAAATGGGATTTGAAAAAAATGTTTTATAATAACTAATCCTTTGTTTTAAAAATAAGAATATCTCGAACAAGATGATTAGAACAAGTCTTTGAGCAAAAGCACTTGGACAGGTAGTGTACAAGTCACATGATGAAAATTTTATGTATGCAAATAAGCTTGAAATATTAATTTATCAATTATACACCTATAATTATATTAGCATGACATGTATTATACTTGATTGAATGCTAAACAACCAAAAATTATTAGTGAACATTTGGGGCTGTTAAAAGAACCAAAAAATTTTAATGAAACCAACCAATGGAAACTTCACATTGGAAATATTTTGACGATGATGACAATCTTGTCTTTAATGACGAAATCGACCATTTTGAAGATGTGGCGTATATTTTGGGTTTATCAAGATTCATGCAAGTTTGATATAAATATAATAATAAAATACAATATTCGATTTTTATATATCTACATGAACTTATTTGAACTTGGATAAAAGAAAAGTCATTAAATATATGAGAGATACCGATATTATTGTCCCAAATCTCACGTCTTTCCTGTTTAGATGATTATTATTATGGGATTTTTCTTTTTTTTTGTCCGTACTAATTAGTCCATATTAATATTAATATTAACATGCTAATAAAAACCGTCGTGTAAAAATACCACATTGATCGCTATCTATAAATCATAAATTTTCTTAGTATTTCCTGGATTTAGCTCTGTGAAAGGCTGGCTGACTCATAATAGACAATCCAAAAAAACACGCATACTTTATCAATCAAATCAAAGCAAGTATTGGAATCATTCTCGAAACTAACATCATTTGGATTTTATTTATCCTTGCATTCTTAAAGTATCGACGAATTCGGCAGTTTTGAAAATCCCACGCAAAATAACACTCGAGTGTATGTGTTAATAATTATATATCGACACTGTTCCTATATATAGAAAGCAATTAGCATGTTATAAAGTGTCGATCAACATTCAAAATTTTTATCGTAACAATATTTTGGGTGAAATATTGATATAGTTGTCATTAATTAGTAATTACTTGAACATCTAGTTAAATTTATGAAGTAAAGATCTACAAAGTAGATGAGGTCATGGATGTATAAGTTGTTTCTTTGAAATTTTTTCACATCAGCGCAAAAAAATCAAATATGGTTTTTTATTGGCTAATTTAATTTTCACCATCACAATGAAATAACCAGTTTTGGACCAATCTCAATATGGCTAACCTATTTGGTTCTATATAAGAGCAATGACTTTGCCTTTCTGAAACTCGACTGATAACTTCCTTACTAGATTAAGAAATCAGGAAAAATGAATAATTTTTTTCTCAGAATGACTCTTTTTCTGCGGCAGATAATTTCCAATTACCTTTTTACTTCAATTTCTCGATAGGTAATAGCCCGAACTTTGAAATCTGGTTTGCTACTTGCCATTTTTTTAAAACTCTCATGACAAGGGCAAAAACAAAATGAGCAATTGTTATTAATTCAACGAAGGCTCTTAATTAAGTTAAGCGAACTGAGCTAACCGAAGTTTACATTCGACAATTTTGTTGGCGCCAAAAAGAAGTAATAATCGAAAAAAAAAGGTTGGCGACAGCATTGAACTTTAGCAACATTTCTACGAAAAATGCAAAAAACAATAATAAAATTGTATCCATCCACAGAAGAGAAATAATGACAAAGATCTAGTTTGCTATGAGGATTTTATAACACAGCCTGGATCCTAAAGTCCAAATTAAAATTGAGCTGAACAATGCATAAGAAGAATAATCTTAGCATGCATTGAATAATCAAAATGTTATTAGCATTGTTATAAAGCGGCGCGACATTTTTTTTGCCTTGCCTTTTTTGTTAATTTGAAATGATTCTTTTTTAATTTCCTGTTTTGTAATTTTTACGTTTCACGAAATTAAAACGATTGCATATTTCTATTTACTATTAGTATACTAGTTTTTTACTATACTACATATGAGATTATATATACTATTACTACTATTTGTTACTGCCTGCTCATTTTGAAAAAAGGTAATTTGTATATTAAAAAAAAAAAAAATCATATTGCATTGATCCAATTAAATTCTTTCCGCATTAACCGAATTCTCTGGTATGTTTTTAACGTAAGAAAGAGCGGAATTAAATTGGTGCAACTAATCAATATAAAATGACTTTTGATTTTTCCAAATTGTTTTTTAATACAAAAAAGTTATATTTATAAAAAAATTATTTGTAAATATTATTTTCAATCGATATAAAAAAGTGTTCATTTTTATTTATATTAGTCAAACAGCAGCATTTCGCTTTTGGTGAATTATATAAATATAATAGATATATGTATGCACGTATGCAAATACTTCAATTATTGATTATTGTTCAATTGTTAAATTGATTTTCTCTCTTGACTAATTTTAATATTGTTATTTTAGTTTTTTAATTAATAATTATCACACTAACTAAACAATGTGAGAAATATAGTTAATAAATACTCATTTTTTTAAAAATCGGTAAAGTAACAGTTTCTCACTATTATAATAAAATTTTCTACCGCTACAAAAGATTTTAATAAATATATAACATTTTTTTTTGTATTATTTTATTTTGCAGAAATTTATTAAAACGTGACTAACTTTTATTGTAAATTGATTGTTCGTATCACCATATGGAAAAACATAGTACCCTTTTCTAAAAATATTCCTATAAAGAGATTATCTAAGCTTAATAATAATTGGTTCTCGACCTCTGTGTGTGTGTGTGTTCTTATAGAGGTTTTTATAAAGGGTATAGGTGGTGATCGACATCCCGCCTACCCTATGAAAACAAATTTACCATCAATTTCAACCAAATCTAACTCCCATTTTTTTGATTAATCACTTTGAGGCTATTAACAAATCCAATTTTATTGCTTGCTATTCATGTTTGAGACTCTTCAATATTCTCTTGGATGTGGAAAGTCATTTGAACAAGTAAGTAATCTCTGAATATTTATTAGTATCAGAAATTGTTATTATCATCTACTCCCCAGATCATCCATTTGTTTCAGGAATCATTAGGCTGAAATATTTGCCCTGGCTAAAACATTTCTTGTCAGAAGAGAGGAAATTGAGATTTTGAAAAAATTCAAATTTCTTTCAGATTGATGGAGGCATGATGATGCTTTCACCTATCTAGATCTAATATCAGTTAATAATAATCAACAATGAAAAAAATAGCCTTTAGAGTTGTCCATTTTTGGTATGTTGTAGTATATATACATTTCACATATAATACAAATATTAAATTTTTTTAGGACCAAGTATACATTAAATTCTTTTTTGATCAAGAAAACAGTATAATTTTTACATCATTTAGTGATTAAAGGTGCAGGCTTATTGGTGTAATGACATGTTGTAGTGATGCAACAAATAGGTTTGCATCCTTATTAACAGTCAAGTTCTTAAAGATTTTTTTTTGAGGCATTGAGAAAATTGTGCTTGAATTATTTATATTGGGGGTTATCAGATCTCTTCTCGAAGTGGTTTTGTCAATTTGCATCAATGAAGGTAACCAATCATTATTTCACATTGACATTCATGACTTGGAATAGTTGGCCATGGTGAGTAGGTTTTTTGTCATAATCTTCATATTCATTATGTACGGTATTCAAAGCTACAATATATTCAATAAAAAATATAAAATTTGGCATTCCTTACTTGAGGAAGCAGGTACAATTTGAAATTCCCGAGATTGATTCTGAAAACAGTAGAATGAAATGACCGACTGAACATCTGATATTTCTTAATATATTTTTTTGAAAATTAGCCCAGTATTGTTGAATCTTTTACTTGAATTAATATTTGCTCACAAGAATGTTTAGAAATCTTGGAAAAAGTGTGATTCGAAAGCTCATTAAAGTTATTGTTGACAATAATAACTCTTGTAGAATATTGCTACTATTGATGTGTTATTTTTGAGACTTTATAGCAATAAAATAATGAATAATTACATGGTCATCGATTCTCGTTAATCATTTCTAACAGATCTTGAAAATTATCCAATCAAATTTGAATATTATCTAAATTTGGACTAGTTACACGCCGAATTCTAACCAACGATTTTCCTATATATATAATAAATTTTTTTAAAATTTTCATATGCGATGCCGCCCCGTAAAAAAATGACGTTAAACAGATCTCTAAATTTGAACGGCCTTGGTTACAAAATCAAGAGTGCTGCCCAAATTTAGATGACTTATGATTGAATAATAATAATAATGTTAACTCTACTCTCAAGTAAACATAAGACAAAATGTACATTATGTATTTAACATTTGAAAAAAACTTTACCTAGAAAGTAAAAAGATAAGATAAAAAAAAAGTCCATCGGCTATTAATATCACAGTCACATTATTATTGTGTATTCGAACCCCCCAGAAATTCTTCGACTTTGTCGGGTTCTGTTACGATACGCCCCATATATATTATTTATTAAATATTTATAATAAGTTAGTATCACAAAACTTTTTAAAAATTTCTAAAATTTTTTTTCATAAAACTCTAAACTTAGTCTCCTTTAATAATAATAATAATATACATAGATTGTATGTTAATATATTAATGAAATAATGGTAATTTTCTTCCATATCAGGACGCATCTGATTTTTTTTTTTTGAAAAATACTGCAATAATCTCTCTGATGACAAATTGGCTAAAAATTCTTTGCCGAGTATAATTATATACATACGTCAAGCAACTCTTGTATTTCGCTAGTATATATATTTCTCCTTTCTCCTTTACTCCTTTTCATCCTTTTAATTTTGATAGAAATATTTTTGAGGATAATTTTTGTAATAAAAATAATTAATTCGCATTACAATTTTGACATTTTTAATAATAATTACATATTTATTATTATCATATTTATCCATATTTTATTATTATCATATTTATCCATTTTTTATCATCATCATCATCATTATCATAAAATTATTTAGTTGGTTTGTGTGATTCTTGTTTGTGCTTAATTTTTTTTTTAAAAAATTTTTCAATTTTCCAATTTCATTTCTAATAATTTAATTTTCCTCCTCTTGTTGAAAAAATAGTTTGTCTGATTTAGTATAATTACAATTAATAATTATATCTACTACTGTTTATCGTCTCTATCAGCCAAACGGTCATTAAGTATTTTTGTTCGTTTCATAATAATCATAACCATATTTATAAAAAAGTCCGACTTGCTCTTTGTCAAAAAAAGAAAACTGAAAAAATTAAGATAACGTAAGTAGTCATTTATTATTTTGCTATTAATAATAGTAAAAATACAATAATAATAATAATACGTTATTATTAATAGTTTATTAGCGCACACATTGAAAAAATAAAAGTTTTAAATTTAAAGATTTAGAAGATTCTTTAAATTTTAGAAAATAGTTATATATACGTATATAAATAAAATTAATATATATATTGGGGTTTTATTCATTTTTTAAAAAAAAAAAAATTTTCGTCTCCTTTTTTTAATTCCACAATTCACTCTTAATAATTAATAAATAATAATAAATAATAATAATTACATCCTCCCTTCACGCTTCCAAACTTCCATACCATATTAGGCAAAGAAAATCTCCGAGAATTAGTTTATTATTACTATTATTGCTATTTATAGTCTTTTTCTTTTAAATTCCATTATTAGAAAATGTCTCTCGCTGAGGTGGAAGACTCTCATACAACAACAACTTACACTACCACGATAGAAAGAACTACTTTTAATTATTATAATCTTAACAACAATAACAACAACAACAACAATAACAATAATCGTGTTACTGAAAATGGACGAGAATATAATAATATTAATGGTAATGTTAGAGCATCTTATTTAAATGATTCTTGCGATGACGGTATGGATTGTGATAGCGTAGTTTCGGATGAAAGTGAAGATAATAATAGTAATAGAAGATATATCCACAACTCTTATAATAACCATCATCATAGTAATTATTATCGTAATATGAATATTATGGCTGGGAACAATCATATTAGTAATAATGGAATTATTGTTGGAAATAATAGAAATGTTGATATGTTAACAAATAATGCAATCACCACAAGAAACCCTTCGATAAATGATGAACAAATGGATGTTTGTGCTTCTGAATCACAGATAGAAAATAGCAACCATCACCATCACCATCACCACCAACAACAACATCATCATGGCCAACATCATTCAATCTTTCAAATAAATAACAACAATATTAATAATATCAATATTAACAATGTTACTAATAATATTATTAGTGGTGGCCACAGAATTATTAATAGGAGTAGTAATAATAATCATCATCATAATAATAACAATAATCATAATCATAATAATCACAATATTATTAGTAATAATAATAATAACAATAACAGCAGAAACAACAGTAATTTCAATAATAATAATAATAATAATAATAATAATAATAATAATAATAATGTTGGTCCTTCAATTAATCACGTTTTTGGAAACGTTAATGGTCATAATCTTACTTTTCCAAGAAACAACAATAACAACAATAATATTTTACCACCAATTCATTTACCCATTCAAAATCATCCTGTACCAACATCCATAACTTCAACAAACAACAATTCATCATCATTATCAAATAGTAATTGTAGGCATAATGGGGATCCATTTATGATTTACCCACAATCTTCTTTAAATTCAAGAAATTTGCCAATGTCGTCGTCTAGAGACATTCGTAATAGTAATAGTAATAATAATAATAATAATAATAATAATAATAATAATAATAATAATAATAATAATAACAACAGCAACAACAATAACAACAACAACAACAACAACAACAACAACAACAACAATAATAGTTGCAACAACAACAACGGTAACAGCAGTAATAATAATAATAATAGTAACTTTTCTTTTTCATCATTCAATAATAATGTACATTCTGAATTCTTTGGAGCTCCACATATGAGTCATCATCTTGCTACTGTTTCTAATAACAATAATAATTATTATTCTTCCGAAGTTTCAAGTGCACCAATATCCGCATCATCGCCACCGTTGTCTTTACCAAATAATAACAATCAACAACAATTACAACAACCGCCAAACTATTACCACAATCACCACAATCACCATCAAAATCAATTATATCAATTGCCAAGGCAACCACCAAAACAAAGTTCTTTAAGATTTGGATTTTCAGAACCTTATATACTGCATGATGATAGTGAAAATAATGATGACGATGACGATGATGATGATGTTGTTGACGATGTCGAAGAAGAAGAGGAGGAAGAAGAGGAGGAAGATAATGAAGATGATGACGTTGAAGATGTTGCGGATGAGAGAGAAAAATCGATAAGCGCTGTTGGGTCATCTGCATCATATGATTCATCTGCCTCAAGGAAAAGGGCTAGATCAATTTCTAATGATTGGACAAATGTGGTAGTAACACCAAACTTTGTGTCATCCTCCATATCATCTATACAATTTGGTTCTCTGGAGCCTTCTAATAGAGACCTGTCAACTACAAGAAACGGGTTTAGTCAATTGTTACGACCTACTACTTCCAATCCGCCACCACCTCCACCACCACCTCCACAACAACAACATCAACAACAACATAATCATAATCATCATCACCACCATCAAAATAATATTAGCATTAATAATAATAATAATAATAATAATAACAACAACAATAATAATAATCGCTCTTTAACAACATCAGCTATAACGACATCAACAACACCAATAATAAATACAACAATCCCAACACCAGCAACACCAACACCACCATTAACTTCTGCCACTGCACTGCCCATGGTATCATCCAGAAGTAACAGTTCATCAATGTTAATAAATTTTTCCGTGGACAATAATAATAACAATAATAATAATAATCCAGAAACAAATCCATCGCCTATTTCTTTATCATTTTCTAATCCTCATTCTCCCCACCATCCACCTGCTTCACCTGCTCCCCCGCCTGTCACTCCTTCTTCTTCTTTACCATTTAACTTTCCTATTCGTTCAAATAATTTTGCAGATTTTCCACATTCATCACTAACAACAACGGCAACAACTCCTCCACCTACCTCTTCTATTCCTAATAATCCTACACCTTCATCTCACTCGTCGACTCGTCCACAGTCTCAAAGTTTTGTCGTCCCTAGAGCACCAATTTATGTCCATAACAGTAATTCTACTACTACTAATAATACAATTGCTGCTAGCAATACTAACATTAGTAACAACAACAGTAACAACAACAATATAAGGAGGAGTTATTATAATATACCGCATCCCACATCAATAGATACAACATTAAATTCATTTAGGAGGCACTCAACATCACAACCGCCTGTAACAATCTCTCCAACTTCTAATGAAAATACTAATAATGCTCAACAAGGTTATAGTTCAAATTTTGCTCCTGCTAATTCAATTTTACATGCTTTAATGTTAACAGAATTTTTATCTTCTCCTTCTCCTTCAACAGACAGAAGAAATCAACATCCTCATAATATTAATAATTGCAATAACAACAACAACAACAATAATAATAACAACAACAACAACAATAATAGTAATATTCCTGGTAATTCGCAAAGAAATTCCTCGACAACATTTTCGATGAGATGGGGAAATCGCGCTAATAGCGGTGGCAGCGGTTTAAATAATGTTGTTACAAATAATATTAGTAGTAATGGTGGTGGTGGGGGCGAAACATCAAGATCAAGACCTGAAATATTAATTAGGCCAACAACGCTTTCTTCCAATCGTCGATCAATCACTAGGCAATTAAACAATAACAATAGCAGCAGTAATAATAGTAATAATAATAATAGTAACAACAACCATAATCATCAAAATCACAATCACAATCACAATAATCATTCAGGTTTTGGAAGTTTAATAGAGCCTATAACAGTTTTTGGAAGTGACGATGATGATGGAGATAGTAATAATATTGATGTTGATGAAAGTTCAGACAATGAAATATCATCAACACCACCACCACCTCCAATTCCACAAAATAGACATTGGATTAGACCTAGAAGAATGGCAACGACATTTGATAATCATATTAATACTAATAACAATAACAACAACAATAACAATAACAATAGTAGCAGTAATAATTTACGAGAATCTAGACATAATTCATTTAATCACCGTGTATCATCAAGAGCCAGTAGCGATAGCAATAACAATAACAATAATAGTGGTAATAATAATAATGATGAACAATTCTCAAGGAGATTTCATGTATCAGATCATAATTCAAATTATGTATGGAAATTTTTTTTTTATTTTTCAATTAATATTCTGCGCACGTGTTTTATAACGGATTAATTAATTGTTAATTGTTAATTAAATATAGAATCCAGATGAACATTCTGCTTTAGCTAGAATCTTTGTTGGTGTGAATAGAGGTATTAACTAATTAATTAATTATTAAAAAAAAAAAAATTGAAAAAATTATTTTTTCCGAAAAAGTAATAAAATTTTCTTCTCTTATCATTTCATAATATGAAATTAATTAGCTCGACTTCCAACTCGTCGAGATTCAACTTCAAGTACCACCACTTCATCTTCATCTTCAGCTTCAACACGTAATATAAGTGTGAGGAGAGGTGAAAATATTCGTACTCCATTAGTAAATAGATTACCAGAGATTTTAGCACATCATGATAGACTTCATTACCATCACCATAATCATCATAATGATAGTGAACAACGTAGCAGCAGTAGCAGTAATAGTAATGAAACACCTCGTCGTGGCCATCATGGTTCACGTGGTAGTCAATCAAGAAATGCAAGACAATTTGGAAATTATTTAAACCATCATCATCCAATATTAGGTAATTTTATTGATAATAATGAAATTGAATGGGGGCATATTTTAGATTTGTTACCAGAAGTTTTCGGGTAATTATTTGTTTATTTTTTGATCTTATTTATTCGGAAGGAGAGATTATAATAATAATAACATTTTATTTCTACTGCTTAGAAGTGGTATTGCATCAAATCCAGACAATTATTTGGTAAGTCATTGTTTATTTTTTATTTTTTGTTTTTAATATAGAAACAATTTAATGATTATTTTTATTATCTTATATACATATACATTAGGATGACGACGAATTTGATTCTAGTTATGATGCTTTAGTGAGATTAAGTGAAAGAATTGGCGATGCAAAACCTAAAGGTGTCCCTGAGCATGTTATTAATAATATACCAGTTAAATTTTATACAATTGTGAAGAACAGAACTCAGGAAGAGAGGTAAATAATAATAAAAAAAGACCTTTTTCTTTCATTTAAAAAAAACCCCCTTTTTAAACAACCTTATGATTATTTTTATATATAGATGTACGATATGTTTAACAGAGTATGAAGTAAATGAAAGACTTAGGAGTTTACCATGTTCACATGATTTTCACCAATCTTGTATTGATACTTGGCTCAAAAATTCTGATAAATGTCCAATTTGTAGACGTGGTCTGTCAGAAAGTAATCATCATAATAATTAAAAATTAGATGAAAAAATATATGGATATTTTTTATTATTCAGCCTATATACATGTGAAGATAAGATAAATGGGCCATTATATTATATTATTATTAAAGGGATTAATATTTAATATATATATATTTATATTTATATTTTATTTCTTTAAAATAAGTTGGGATTCTTAAATTTTGGTTTTTTTTTTAATGACATTTCTATCCATAATAAAATGCTATTTATTTTTTAGAGATTATTGTTATTGGTTTTCTAAAGAGAAAAATTTTTGATTTTATTTATATGTTCTTTGTAACTTTTTTTATGTATAGATTTTCTTATTTATATATATATAATTAATTAATTATACATATTTTCTTTATTTTCTTTTTTTTTTTCTTGATTAAACCCAAAAAAAAAAACTTTAAAAAAAATCTTATTATTTTTAAAAATAAATAAAATAATAAAATTACAACAAAAATCACAATAAATTTAACAAATTGGAACATTAACAGCCAATCCACCTAAACTAGTTTCTTTATATTTAGTTTGCATATCATGACCAGTTTGTCTCATAGTCTCAATAACTTGATCCAATGTGACTCGATGATTTCCATCTCCTTTTAATGCTAATTGTGCTGCTGTAACAGCTTTTACAGCCCCAAGTGCATTTCTTTCTATACAAGGTATTTGTACCAGTCCGTTTACTGGATCACATGTAAGTCCCAAATTATGTTCCATGCCTATTTCCGCTGCATTCTCTACTTGTTCTGGTGTTGCTCCCATTAATGCAGCGAATCCTGCTGCACTCATACTACAAGCTGAAAAAAAAAATAATTTGTAATTAGAAAAATATTATATTATTTATAAATTAAATAATTAATTAAACAAAAAATTTTTTTTTTACCAACACCAACTTCTCCTTGACAACCCATTTCGGCAGCGCTAATACTAGCACCTTTTTTATAAAGCATTCCAATAGCTGCACAAGTAAACAAATATTCCATAATATATTTTTGTTCTTTTCTAGGGTTTTTTGAAATGAATTTTAAATAAAATTTCAATACGGCAGGTATTATACCTGCTGCTCCATTAGTAGGAGCCGTTACAACACGACCACCTGCAGCATTTTCTTCATTAACAGCTATAGCATAAACTGATAAAAAATCTAAAGTTTTACTACTAATATCATCATAAATCATTAATTGTTTATATAATCCTGGAGCTCTTCTTTTAACTTTTATACTGCCAGGTAAATATTCTTCGGTACTTAGACAACCTGCTATGATACTTTGATCCATCGTTTCCCAAATCTTTGTTATTTTTTTATTAATTTCATTTTCGCCACTAATATCATCGTGGTTGTGGCTTTGGTGCCATTGCAATTCATTTTTATAAACAACTTGTGATATTGATAAATTTTCACGATTACAAACTTCCAATAATTCTTCAGCGTTACTGAATGGTAGTAATACGTTAGTAGCAGTGGTGGTGGCAGTAGCAGAAACAGTTGTTTCTTTTGTTGTTGTTGTTGCCTTTTTCATTATAATGGTAGCTTGTTTTTGTTGTTGATGATGATTACCATGATCTTGTTGTCGTTGATTTTTATTTGTTACCATCGTATTATTAGTTTTGTTGTTGTCGTACGCTTTATAATAAAGGTTTGTACTTTCTTCTTTTATAGAGGTGGTAATTTCTTTGATAACAAATCCGCCTCCAATTGAATAAAATTCACTATTTGCTAAATAATCACCTTTGTTGTTAAAAGCACTAAATCTTAAACCATTTGGGTGTTTAGGTAACGATTTATCATAATGGAAGATTAAATGTTTTTTAGGATTAAAATGTATTTCTTTAACTTTATCTAACTTCAAAATATCTATATGTGTGTGTATATATATATATTATATAAGGATTATTATTGTCGTTATTATTATTAATATTTATTATATATATAGGTTTTTTTGCCTACTTTTTTCATGGATTTCATTAATTCTTGATGATATTGATGTTGTATCAATATCTTCGGGTGTTTCACCTTCCATTCCCATTAATACCGCATCAGGTGTACCATGACCCTTACCAGTTAATGCCAATGAGCCATATAAATCAATCCGAAGCGATTTCACCTTTTTATTTATTTATTTATTTGATTTATTTATTTATATATAAGCATAATAGTTTTTTTAAACATTGCTTTATAATATATAGAAAAGAACAAATTAATCAAGATACCTTGTCGAGTAAATTTTGATTTTTTAAATCATTAAGAAAAAGTTTTGATGCACGCATAGGTCCAACAGTATGACTAATATAAATATATACACACACACATATATCACATACAAGTTTTAAATATAAAATTTTTTTGCAAAAATTATCTAACCTTGATGAGGGACCTATACCAATACTAAACAAATCAAACGTACTAATAACCGCATGTTGATGTTGTTCAGTATTTTTGTTTTGCTCTTTTATGATAATTTTATTGTTAATTTTTTTTAATTTATTAGTGATGGTAGTAGTATTAGTGTTAGTAGTAGTAGTAAATAACCTTAAATTATTATTATAATTATTATTATTATTGATAAAAAATAATTGAAAAGAAGAATAATTATTAAAATGAAATTTGTAAAGAATAGATCTTTTAAAATTTTGATATTGAGATGCCATTTTTTTTTAATTAATTGGAAAAAAGAAAAAAAAAGAAAGAACTAATTAATGCAGTAATATAATATACTCAACAATATTTATGTACCTGTATTTTTTAAAGTTTAAAGATTGATGGTTAAGAGGTGAGAGAATGAATTCTTTTTCAACAATTATTATTTGTTTATTATTATCTCAATTACGTCACGAGATGAAGATCATAGCTTTTTAAAATAATAGAGTTCTCACGCGGAACGCTGGCATTTTTACACAAAAGCTGGTTGGTTAAAAAACAAAGAACGATCAATTTATGAATATATGTGCTAAAAACGTAACGCAAAAGCGTAATTTATGGTAAGAACGATTTAGTGTTCGAGTTTGAGTATCATGAGGTTATATATTTACATTCGTTACTAGGAACCACATGAAAATATGACATGTATTCTTCCTGAATCGGTTGTAGTGAGGTTATGGGAAAATTTCAATTGTTTAGATGTTTCAAGAGATATACTACACAATGAAGAGAATGAACCCGAACCACAAGTAATCTCCAAGTATTTATCTTCATGCAAATGATTATTGGATAACTTTACAACATATATTATCTAGTGGCAAAATATGGAGCAATCGAGCTCTCTCAACTAGTACATCCTGCAATGATCAAAGTGAAAGGATGTATATTATTGATATCGTGGTTCCTTTACTTTGAGCAAGTTTGAGATCCTCCAAATGGCTATAGCTGATAAAATATTGTTATGAAAAAATGAAAGTTTTATACTCGCCATATTTACTCATTGATTACAGGGCATAGTCCCAGAGTCTGGCGAGCAAGGCACAAAGAAATCTTGGGGTTGATGAGGAGTGTATGTGGGGGAAGCCTGATGTTATTAGTGTTAGTAAAGCACGAAGGAAAAAAGTGGATGATGGTGTGAAGGTGAAGTTGTGGAGAGGAACATTGGATTGAATGAGTTTTGTTGATTCAACATGTAGACCAATTGTTAATCGATCCGGCATTGTAGGTAGGCATTCATGTTATAGACGATGTTACATATTCAAATGTTCTTGTTAAGGATGCAGGAGGAATACCATTGGATTTACACAGAAGTTCTGCTGTCATAAGCACAAAATAATGTGTAAATTCTCTTATTAATATCTCATTGATATGGATTTTATGTTTTGCCTCAAAGTATACGCGTAAATTTTATTTAAAAAAATAAAAACTTATTGACATTAAACCCATTAATTGAAGTTCCTTAATTTTACGAGGGTTCTAGAAATGCCAAAAACGTAAATTTTGCGTGAATGTTCATATTAAGTATTTTCTAAAATATTTTTATATGTTTATCTTTCGCGACAAGAGAATTTTTTGTCGCAAAAAATAACTATTTTGTAAACCACAATAATAATATTTTGGAGACCTATGTAGTTCAAACATCATGATAGAAAAGGTTGATGGGAAATGCTTATAGACCTTTACTAGGCTGGAATACATGAAAAGAATCGTTATATATCTAGAAGTTAAATGAGCAAATGTGGCCAAAGGAAATGCTTTAATTTATAAAGATCACGATTTATACTGGCTAGAGACGTTTAAAAAAAAAGTTGAAAATTAGTGAAATGTTAAACACAGAGAAAGTTTGATATTTGATTAATATTTGATTTGATTACGTGTATTTTACAATTATAGGGCTTAAAAAATATAAATAATATTCTAGCAACGGGATGCTGGAAAAGGACGGGGATGGGTTCAAGCCACACCTGCCCGTCCCCTGTCCTTTTCATGTATCCGATTATAATATGTTTTAATTAGCTTAATTATGATTTATTTTTTTTTCATTATTTTATTTTTACACAAGTTTTAGCCTCAATTGTATAATAAAAAATAAAAATCAAGAACTTTAGATAAGGAATAAATAGAGACGGGAAATTAAATAGCCAATTTTGCTGTCCTTTCCATGGTTTGTCCGCAAACAATAAAAGGAGCAGTGGCACGGGTGGTAATGACACAGTAACCCGTCCTTTTTAAGAAAAATCAGGGACGGGCAGTAATGGCACAGCAAACCCGTCCGATTTCCCTATTAATAATAGGATGGGGACAGGTTCAAGCCACATCTGCCCGTCCCCCGTACTTTTCATGTGCCCTTTTTGAATGTTATACAAATCACGTTTTTCAATTACCATCATCAAACAAATCCGTTAAATTATGTGAAAATGTGTGAATTGATTACTTTTTGCATTAAACATCAATTCACATACCATAATGATTTTTAAAAATTATATTGCATATGGATATAAAATAATACTAACTAATAAATACTAACACAATGCTTGATGACATTTTGTCTTCTTTTTTTTTATAAAATATGATGTAATGAATATGCGATGACGTTTTGACTATATAATTAAAAATCAAAAGTATGAGAAATTCTTCAATTCGTTTGTTTTCACCACAGTTAATAATAAAAAAAATTTTTCAGTCAATTATGAACCCAAAAAATCCAAAAACCACAGAACACGATATAATCAAAACAAATCTCGTGCCTTTAGAACTTAATAAAAAAAACGATTATGATCAATTAATTGATAGTATCGGTGAAGCAAAAATTGTTTTAATTGGAGAAGCATCTCATGGTACTGAAGAGTTTTATCGTGAAAGATGTTTAATTACAAAAAGATTAATCGAGGAAAAAGATTTCACGTTAGTTTAAAATTTTCTTGACGTAAAATATAAACAAATAATAGACACTAATACTAATACACAATCAAATATTTTTAAGAGTTGTGGCTTGTGAAGCAGATTGGCCTGATAGTTATAATGTTAATCGTTATGTACAAAATTTTAAAACCAACACTTTCAAGTCTGCAAGGAATTCATTGAGAGGTTTTACTAGGTTTCCAACTTGGATGTGGAGAAATGAACAAGTTGAAAAATTTATTGAATGGTTGAAATTTCACAATGCACAATTGGAAAAAAGTCAAAAATCTCAAAAAACTTATAATAGATACAACAAAGTATTATCTCAATAATAGTAGTAATGGATTTTTTATATTTGGAGAAGAGAAAATATTGATTTTTTTTTTTTTAATAGACCGGATTTTATGGATTAGATTTATATTCATTATTTACATCTATTGATGAAGTAATAAAATATCTAGAAAAAGTTGACAAAAAAGCTGCAGAAAAAGCTAAAAGACAGTGAGTAAATGTTTTTGAAAAAAAATTTTAAAACAAGAAATTAATATAATTCAAAGTTTTTTTTCTCACACACAAAAAATTTAGTTATTCTTGCTTCGATCATTTTAATCGTTCGACTGATTTATATAGTTTCTCAAATTATTATCAACTTGGCTCATCATGCGAACAAGATGTAGTCCAAGTTTTAGTAGATTTAGTTAAGAAACGTTCTGGTTCCTTTTTAAAAGAAAAGCTTGAAGATGATAATGATGAGCCAGACATATCGAAACCAAATAATCATGATGAATGGTTTTCAACTGAAATTAATGCTTTAGTTGTTAAAGATGCTGAAGAATACTATAGAAAAATGATTGCTCCAGAAGCTAGCAGTTGGAATATTAGAGAATCGCATATGATTAAAATTTTGAAAGTTTTGATTAAATATTTGGGAGCACAAAGAGGAAAAGATGTTAAAGCTGTTATCTGGGTAACTAAATAAATAACTATCTATGTTTTTATCCTTCTAAATTCATTCGTTCACTAATTAAAACTATCTGTTTGATTATTATTACCATTATTATTACTATTAATATAGGCTCATAATAGGTAATATTAACAATTAATAAAATTTAATTCATTTTTAATTTATAACAATCTTTTTTTCTCTCAGTCATATTGGTGATGCCAAGTATACAGATCAAGGACAAGTTAGAAGAGAGCTTACTATTGGTCAATTAGTTCGTGAGAATTTTGGTCCTGATAGAACTTTTAGTATTGGTTTTACTACTCATACTGGAACTGTTACTGCTGCATCTGATTGGAATAGCATAAGGGAACTCAAAAAAGGTTATATATAATATTAATATACCAAATATATATGCTATTTTAAAATATTAAAATATTTAAAATATTGCATCTTTATTTATTTTATAAAGTGAATCCATCCCGCCCAAATTCCTACGAAAATTTATTTCATAAAATTGCTACTGAAACAAATCACCCAAACTTTTTACTTTTATTTAAGAAAATAAAAAATTCTTCCAAACTATCAACATCACCAGAATTGATCAACGCTTTGTCAAAACCAAATCTGATGGAAAGAGCAATTGGTGTTATTTATCGTCCGAATACTGAATTACAATCTCACTATTTTTATGCACAAATCAGTTCACAGTTTGATTCGGTAATTCATATTGATACAACTAGTGCTCTTAAAGCTTTGGATGTTTCTGATTTGATGGTTAGAGACTTTGAAAAGGAAGCAGAAGAGGTTAGTTTTGCTATTGTTATTTCATATTTATCTTTTGAAGTTACTTTTAAATCTTTTGATTGAAAATATTATATTATTTCTAAATAGCCTCCAGAAACTTATCCAACTGGTGAATAACCAATGTTTTAAGTTTTGCTTATAATTTTTTTTTTTAAGAATAATAAAATTTCGAGAAAAAAAGTTCAAAGAAATTAAATATCATATTAAGAGTTAAAGCTCAAAATTAAGTGTAAATTTGAAAAAGGATTGTTTTAAGAGAGCTTGGCAAAAATTTTATATTGATTCATTTCAGGAAGCAAAATTTCATTGTACAAGTTAGTATGTGATTGATAATAACAATTATATTGACACAATATAAAAACTAATATAAATCACATGACATAATCAGATCTCCATAATGTCACTTCCAGTTAGAGCAAGCAAATGCCAAAGTAAGAATAGGATTGAACCAACTAAAACCGAACAATTAAATGAAAGCCAAAACAAAAAGAGGATAGGCTTGTCACGAATTTATACTTTTGGATTGATTGCTCCAATTATTTTATATAGAGATATTGAACTATTAAAAAAAAGAGAAACAAAAACAAGAGGTTTAAGACTGTGAATATTGTGATGATAAATTATTGGGGCAATGTTGTTGTTTGTATTACTTTGTTCTATTTTTGTTGCGAAATTTGCAATTCACACATGTGAAATTCAAATTAGCCACAGAATCCACATCAACTTTAGTTATATTATTATAGATGATTTTGATAACGAATTGAATAATTTCTCGAGCTGTCCAGTTTAACAAGTAAACCTTGTTACACTAAAACAGGAGGATTCAAATCCTAATTGTGGAAGTCATCATCATTACTGCTGCTGCCACCAGCTAGACATATCCTGTCACAATTAAAATGGCGGCAGAGGTGTCAGTAAGTCCCCCTTATAAATGGATCAGGTCTTTCTCCATAAGTGTTTCTGTGCGAATAAATGTTCCTTATGTTACGGGCAGCATTAACGTCACGATTCCAATGTGTCGGACAGACTGATTTGCAAACTCTGACAGTCCAGAATTTTTGATGTTTATCAAACCACCCATCACAAAGAACAGACTGAGGAAGTAAGCCATGATTTTTCCAAATTTGGAAATCGACTAAATTTTTGTTGATCAACTCATATACGTTACAAATGAGTTGAGAAAACACCCACCGTTATGTTGTGTCGTTTTTTTTTATATAGAACTCTAAAAATAACCGTTAAATAATATTCTTTTAGGTATATAGTTTTATAATCCCATTAATCCTCAAAGCTTTACAAAGTAATTTTTTCAAATTATTTTTCATAGAATCATAATGACGAATAAAACGCTCGAATCAAAAGATTTACTATTTTAAAAAATAATTTAGTTATAAATATCCCTCACATTATTATTTATTTTATGCTTTTAAAAGATAACGATTTTCAAAAGTTTAACATATTTAGATTGCAATGTTATAATAAAAGGTAAATTTGATTGGACTCTTTTTTTCTTTTTGTCATTGTTAAAGGAAAAAGAAGGAAGAGAGCGTGCGTGCATATGCGTGAATATTGAAAAAATTTAATAGGTTCATTCATTCACTTAGTTGAATACGATAAAGCCCACGTGTAAAAATTCAGGAAAGATTTAAAAAGTAAAAAAAGAAAAAGAAACCATTTTTAAAAAAAAAGAAAAAGAAAAAATTTATAGAGTTTGTGTATGTGAAATAGTGCAAGAATTTCTCAAATATAGTGAAACAAATAGGATCTCATAAATTATTAATTATCATAATAACCATAACGATCATAACGAAGAGACCAGACTCTTCAAAATCATAATAGAATGAATTAATTACAGAAGAAAAGGTGTAATTATTAATGTCCAAAAAAATTCTCCAAAAAATAATTCAAAAAAATTTTTTTTAAAATTCTGTCTTCACCACCATCATCATCACCGTCACCGTCACCATCATCATATTCATCGTTCTCGATTATTAATGCGAATGATAATGTTGTGGATTACGATGGTGTCCATGAAGTCGGATATATAATCCACAAGAATTACCTAAATATATTTGTATGTCATCACTATACATTATTTTATATAAAAATAGGAAATTTTATGAATATTCCTTACATAATCTTTGACCATCAAATTTTCTCCAACAAGGTGATTGGGTCACATGACAATTAATACATATGTGATTTTGAGTCTTAGTATTTTTACGTTTTATTTTAATTTTGCCGTTCACGTTTTCTGTTGGACGACGCGTTCCATATTTTTTATGACTAAATAAGATAGAAAGAAAATTTAATTTTTTTTCCTAGAAATTAAAAGAAAAAAACGAAAAACAGAAGGAAACAATCCACTCAACTAAAGCCCACATGCATTACTTTATTTATATATGATATATAAAGTGAATAAATTACAATGTCGAAAAAATAAATCAATTGTAGTAACAACAAACCATAAACGCTCTCCTTCACTTCCCGTTCTCCAAGTTGGAGTGTCATTTGTCCGACAATAAAAACATTTAGGATTTTCGTTTGACTCATTTATTGATGGCAATGATGATGACGATTGTAAAGAAAGAATGTTATTGTTGTTATTATTATTATTATCAATTAATAAATTCGTATCATTATTATTAATATCAGGATTCTCGTTAATTTCACTATTATTTTCACTAATAATATTATTATGATTCTCACTATTATTAATAATTCTTAATAAACCGTGATCATATTTGTATGAAATTTGTTGTAGTTGTTGCTGCCCTTGGTGCACTTGATAGCCTTGATGCTCATAATGTCCTTGTTGATTATGTTGATTGTGTTGTTGCTGATGATGATGCTGATGATGTTCAACAAAAAGCCTTGGATCAATATATAAAATAGATTGTTCTAACTTTATAATTGGCTGATAACTAGTTGAAGCAGAAGCATTTCTAATAATCAAATATTTATCATCGCATCATGAAGATTAAAGATATTTTAAAGAAACAATTATTCTTTAAAAGAAAAAAACTGTGTGTGCGTACTTACTCCTCATCTTCTTGATGATGATAAAATTCAGACTGTTCATTTCCAACATAATCAGTAAAATGTGTATAGTTAATTAACCGATTTAATGAATTCATCTTGATTTTTCTCAATTTTTATTTCTTGATTTTCTTCCTTTTTTTTTAATAAAAAAAAATTTTTTTTCGATAAATATCAGATATCAGATATAATATTAAATAATTCAAAGAATTTTGATCTTTTTATTTGATTTTTTTAATGAATTTTTTTTTATATCTATTTATTTATTTTTTACATGATTGAAATATAAGAGTTTCTCTTATTTTTAAACCATGCACGTTCTTTTATTACATATTTTATATAATTAATTAATATTAATTATAATTATTTTGGATGCATTAATAATATATTTATTAACAATGGCAAAAATTGACATATTTATATTTTTATTTATATTGCTAATCATGATGTAAATAAAGTTTATTTTTCAAAAAAAAAAAAATTTTTTTTATACCAATCATTTTATTATATATTTTGCTCATATGCAAATATTGATTCTAAAGGTGTGTAAAAAAAAATTTTTAAATGATAAATTTTTGGTTGGGGAAAATTGTTTACTATAATTAGTCATAAAACACAAAAAAAGGAATTGAAAATATGACGTCGATCACTTGTTTGTATTACGTCTTATTGTTATTTATATAACGTAATTAGTTAGAAATTAACGTCGTAATTAAAGTGCTAGATCGCAATGAAGTTGCTATTAATTTAATTAAGAAACTCGGATAATGGGAAATTTGAAATGTTACACTAATTTTTTATATTGTGCAACGTAGCTTTACAATACACGGCAAACATTTTGGCAATCAAAAGTAAGTGATAAACTCGATTTGAATTGGATCTGAACTTGATCTCCGATTTAGAGAGGTAACAACTATACACGTTCTATATAACATTTCGTGTAACAACAAACTTCCAATATGCTGATTCGATACTTGTAAAATAATTTTGTAAGTTTAAAAAATTAATTTAAAAATAAGTTAATAAATTAGTTTCGACTAAATAAAACGTTTTCTTAAATTACTAAACAAAATTCTTCGTCAATAAAAACTAATTAGTTAGTAATAGCCAATTCATTCTGATCCACAAAGTCATAAATTTACAATTAATACGCTTTCCAAATAATTGGTGAAAATACATCAATTTTTACAAAGCATATTTTCTTTTATAAGATTGTTAGTTTTTGCGACCCCATCAACGCTCACTGCCTCTCATTTTTTAGAAAGTTTCGTCAATTCCTTCAACAATGATGTTTTTTTCACATTTTCAAAAAAGATGTGGTTTTTAATATTAATTAAAAATAATAATGAATTAATTTCCAAAATCATTATGTTTTTCCAAAAAAGGCATGGTCGTTTTTAATATTAAGAAAAATAATACAAGATTTTAGTAATTCCCATATTTTGCTTAATATAAATTTGGTTCAATTTTAAGCCATTGATCAGACTCACTAGTTTGACCCATATTTTTGTGCTAATTCAATATTTTTTGGTTGGGTTTAGTTTGTTTTAATAAACATAATTTGCGTTTTTGTTCAGCAGTGATATATACACGTTTTTTAATAGATGATGATGATGATTGTTGTCGAGACATTTTCAAAGGTTTTAATTGTAAGAAAGTTTTTGTGTAGGATTATAAAGAATTTGATAAAAGAAAATTTCATCTTTATTTATACAGATTTTTTGTAATTTGATAATGTTATCTTTTTAATTAAACATTGTTCGCTTTCATCTTTAATTTTATTGTTGTCATTTTGGCTTTCACCTTTTTATTATTATTTAAAAATTTAGATAAAATATTCTTTAATTAATCAATTTTATTATTGTTGTTTTGGAAATGGTTTATATTAATACCACATGAATTCGTTGTAACGCGACTAATACCTACCATTAAAATCCTACCAATAAATTCGTTGTCCATTGTAACGCGATTTAAATATGAAATTCGTTGGGAAAGAAGATATTTAATTAATTAATTAAAAAAAGAGTCCAGAAGCGAAACGAAGTTCGTTGAGAATCGTCGATCATTAGAGTATTTGGAAATTCCAAATTTGGTATATTCCCTGAATGCAATAACTAAATTTTTGCGTCTGAATTATTGCTAAAATAAAATTTTTTTATAATAGCAAAATGGAATGTAGAGAAAAGTCTATTGGAAATAAGAAAAGAAAATCAAATGTTGAAGAAACAATTGATAGCAATGTAGGCAAATTATGTCATTTTCAAACGAGTAAGACTGATTATGTCGTTTTTGATTGATTAACTTAGATTTTTATGATTTTAATTCATTTGCTATCAACGAGAACAAATATGATAAAGTTCGGTTTACCTTTAGATTTGGTCCGTCAATGCTATTTATTTCTCCAAAGCCAATCAACGCATCTCAGAAAAAAATGAAGCTCAGTTCATCATTGCCACTTTCATCATCGTCAACAACATCACCACCTTCCAGTCCTTTTAAAAAATCTGATCCATCATCATCACCCACTACCAGTAGTAGATTTTCTTATTCCTTTTTACATAAACAATGTGTAAAAAGACTAAAGGCTAGTTTTACACCACTTCGTAGAAATAGTCAACAAAAAGTAGAAATCAATGATAAAGAAAATCTTAACACAATCAATAATAATCATTCTGAAAACACGAGAAATGTAATAAATCAATCAAATCGCACAAATAATAATAAAAATGATAGTAATACTAACAATAGAGATACTAGTAATAAAGAAAATGTTTTTATTAATAAAATAAATAGGTATAATAAAATTTTTTACTTATTCAAGTATCATCTATTTAAAAAAAAATTTTTTTTTAAAATTTGATTTTTTTTGTAGGATTATTGAATTATTACCTAAAATATTTTTTGTGATCTTGATAAGTAACATTTATCAATTTTCAACAGCTATACAAGATGCTGTAGATATTAAAGTCACTGAATATTCACAAGGTACTGCATATAAAATATTTAGATGATTAATATATTTATATATATAAATAATTTATACATAATTAATATATATTTGATTAGAAATGATTCAGGCAATGACAAAATGTTCAAAAAGTTATCTTCAAAACAAATGTATGCCTAATGAAAGAGTTCCAGCACTGGAGCAAGCTTGTTCACAATGGGAAAGATATCCTTTAATTAATATGTATTTGCATTTGTGCACTATATAGATATTGTCCTTGACTATATTAATCCTAATAATTTTTACATGCATGAACCGTGATCCACACACATTAGCAAGGTAAAAAGACTTAAATAAATAGATAGGTGAGGGTGTGTAATTTCTTAATTTGATTATTTATAATAACATTATTTTTTTTTTATTGATAAAGAGTAACAGCATCTGCTGAAACATTTGGTGAAATAATTAATAGTCTGATGGAAAAATTATCATATAAATCAATGGTAAATTTTTAATATTACACACATTATAGATTATAAATTTTATTTTGATATTAAAAAGAGTTTTATATTAAATTAGATAGTTATAGTGACACTCATTATTATAGTTTTGGTAACTCGAGCTTTTTTTGCACCATTGAGAACATCACAAAGATCACAATTATTATTGTCTTTATCACATCTACCTCTACTACAGAAACAACAACAATCATTAAATTCTATACCTCACATTATCCATAATGATATTAACTCAAATTGACCAAATAAAATTTTTACAAAAATATGAAACATGGAACATCATTTTATATAAAACAAAAAAAAAAATAAGCAAAATAAATTTTTTGTTGTTGTACATACATTTTTTTTTTCTGATAATTAAACTTACTATATAATTTTTAATAAATTTGTTCTAATACCAATAAACTTTAAATGAAAATAAACATCAAGATAATATTTCTATTGAAAAAAATGATGATGATGAATATTCAGATAAAAGAAAAGAAAATATGGAGAATGTTCAACTTTCAATAGATATAATATTGGTTCAATCATGTGCTCCACAACTATTAACTGAGGGATTAGTGGTAATGAAACACTAGATGAGTTGACTAAAGTACATAACTGGGTATGGTAATTATTATTGTCTTCAATGGATTCCTATAATGATTTAACAAATATCAAATAGTAGGTAAATGTGGCTTTGCATGTATATATATAAAGCTGGTGAAGATAGAATTGTGGCATTGAAAAAATTACATTATTCATAAAATATTTCTTTCAAAGTCATGTACAATGTTGTGGTTTCTGGCTTTTGATTGGTTCATGAATGTTTTCCCACCCAAAGCTGAAGCACAAAGTGTCTATTGTGAGAGTTATGCCATAATGGATGCAAAGCATCCTGGTTTGTAAATGTGCAATGATGTAATAATGATAATCACAAAGAGGAAATTCAAAGATTAAAGACTCAGTTAGAACAGTTAACTTCTCAACAAGTTGCTCAAATTGAAATTAAAGAGACTAAAAGATGACCTTGATTGAAAATAAAAAAGTAGTTTAAAGAAATTCTGTATAAATTGAAATTCATTTCAACTATAAAGAAAGTGGTAGTTAAAGCTCCTAACAGACTGATTTCGAGCAGGTTAAGTGTCAACCTGAACTCAAACCAAAATTTTTATGGACAACCTGAACCCGAACTGAAAAATTTCAGATTGACCCGATCCTATTAGGAGCTTTAGTGGTAGTTATTTTCCTTTTAGAGATTTTTGCTTTTTATTAGGTAATAATGCATCATCATGATGCTTCCTTTTTCCAACATTTATTATTTTTCTTTCTTCT